AGCCACACGCACTTGTTCTGGAGCAGTGGAGTTTTCTGCTCGCGTTCACACGCAACAGAGTGCCTATTTTTAGGCTGTCAAGCGCGAGTAGAATACTCTATTCTCCGTGTGTTTATGTGTACGTACGTGTAGGTATAATCATCGGGCTCGGATGTTGAACTTGGTGCATATCCAAGGTGGAAATAACGTTGAAGCGGGTTCAAGGTCGGCCTCCTGCCGCACCAGCTACCGATACTACTTGCCTTGCCTGCCTCTGCCTTTGCCTTTGTTGTTACACTTCGAAGGAGTCGTCTGTTCATCGTCACCGTCGGCGTCCGGTCGGTCCATCTTCTTCTTCTTCTTGTTCTCGTTGAACTCCTCTACCATCTACCAGTCTACCGGTACATACTTAACAACTACCACGTCGGAATTGCACGCTTGATCGGATCGATTTTTTTCCAATTTGTCGGTATCCACTTGCAATCTTCCCAGTAGCGAAAGCTATGGATTTTAAACGGCTTCTTCATATTCAAAACACATTGCATTGCAGCAGTATTTGCGAAAGAATTTTGTAAACGGCAATGAAATTGACCTAAAAGAGCATAATCAATTTTAGGGGATGCAAATAAAAAGAGATGAACTCTGCTTCAAATTATTTCTCTAAATAAAACAACAGGCGGTCCGGTCTTCGACTAACTTTCGTCAAGATTCATGTGCATCTTGGGATTCGTTATCCTTATTGGGCCACTTTAGTCGGTTTTCCTTTCCTGCTTGCTGTTTCATACAAATATCTTCCAACATGAAAAGAAGGTTGATCCTTGTTCTTTTGTTATTTTGAAACGGATTTCTAACTTCCCACTTTCTTAAAAACTATTCTCTAAACTGAAGATTCGTTGTACTGAAGTTACGTAACCGCAAACATACAAACAGTATGTTTTACAGAAATCATTGGAGTGAGCGCCTGTTTCCCGAAAATGAAAACGTGTTTTCTGGTTACGGCGTGAACAACACCTACGACACGTTTGTAGGTACATACGTACGTGGAAGTAAAACTACTTTGGGAAATCTTGTTCTTGCTTGTTGCGTTCGTGGCCCGAAGAATAAAAGGTTCTCTTTCGACCAGAAATACCGGCAGCATCTAATAAAATAACGAATGTACAGTGCGCAAAAGGTACCTAAATCAACGACCTGACACAGGTAACTGTGCCGCCGACCGGCCGGACGCCCGCCCATTGCATACCGCCTTTCGACAATAAATTTGTTTTCGTAGGAGAAACCGCGTACTCTAGTGTCTCAGAGTTTGTCCTGGTATCGTAACGAGAGAAAAAATTGTCCTGTTACCAGATAGTCCCTTGAAACATTGAGCAATTCATGTTCAGAATAGTGGACAGGACTTTAAGGACTTTCAATGTTAGTTCTAGTAATAAAATTGTCCTATTGAAATATGGAGCAATTCTTTGATGTTCTTCCATGTTCAGAATAATAGATAAGATTTTAAATAGTCTCAAAGTTAGTCCCGGTAATACAAGGAAGGAAAACATTGTCCTATTAGCAAATAATCCATTGAAACATTGAGTAATTCTTTGATCAGCCCATGCTCAGAATAGTGGACAGGACTTTAAGGACTTTCAATGTTAGTCCTAGTAATAGAATTGTCCTGTTACCAGATACTTTCATAAAACATTGAGCAATTCTTTGATCGGACCATGTTCAGGAAAATTAAGTCGATATTAAGGACCTTCAAAGTTAGTCCTGGTAACACAAGAAAAAAAAGTTGTCCTGTTACGAGATACTCCTATGAAACATTAAGCAGTCCTTTGATCAGACCATGCTCAGAATAGTGCACAGGACTTTAAGGACTTTAAATATTAGTCCTAGTAACAAAAATTTCCTGTTACCAGTTACTCTCTTGAAACATTGAACAATTCTTTGATTAGACCATGTATAGAATAATAGACAGGATTTTCAGTACTTTCAAAATTAGTCTTGGTTACACAAAGAAGAAAAAAATTGTCCTGTTACCAAATAATCCCTTGAAACCTTGAACAATTCTTTGATCAAACCATGTTCAGAATGATGGACAGATTATAAAGGACTTTCAATGTTAGTCTTGATGACACAAGGAAAAGAAAAATTGCCCTGTTACCAAATAATCCAAATAATGAAACCTTGAACAATTCTTTGATCAAACCATGTTCAGAATAATGGACAAAATATTAAGGACTTTCAATGTTAGTCCTGATGAAAAAAAGAAAAATTGTCCTGTTACCAGATGCTGACATAGTCCCTTGAAACGTTGAACCAGTTTTTAATGCTACATGAAATAAGTATTTCGACAAATTTATTTTTTTAATATGTATTGATGATTTTTTTGAATTTGAGAATAATTAATAGATCTAAATAAAAAGCGTAAGCTCATAATAATTGTACAATATCAGCAGTCGGTATTTTAAGCACAGCTTTTAATTCTGTGGGAAGATAATTCCGTTGTAATTACTTACATACGGGAATAAGCAGCATTATTTGCCTTGCCTAATTTCAGGAAAATACATGTATTGTTATGTCGACCTATAATTTGATATAAATGGTACATTTACCATGAGTCCTTCATGTAGATTAGCTGCAATATATTATTTGATTTTGCTAGCGCCAAAGCTTATTTTGTAAAATATCAAAATGTGAGATTGAATAAAAGTATAAATCGGATGGAATGTCCGGAATTTGGACCACCATGTAATTGTTTCGGGAAACTGTGACCGAAAATGACATCAATACGTATTGGGCCGGGTGTTTGGCTTAAAAATTAGCACCTGTGAGTCCGTAATACTATACATACAAACGTATAACGTAACACACAAGGGGCATTCTGTAGCACCGGTAAATGCAGTGCGTTTATTATTAATATTTGCTCTGAACAAATCGTGCAGAAAATTGATCAGCGAAGGTAATCTGTACATCCTGATAAAAAAGATTGAACCGTGGTGGTTCATTGAATTTTATGCGATCAGTAGAGTGTATAAAATGCCTTACAGGATGCTGGTAGCTGGATTTTAATTCATCATCTTCGTAAGATCTTTAGCCTAAAGGACACGTACCTTTTTATCTTGAATCAGTCTTTGCATTTCTTAAAACTTACATCATTAACTGTTACCTTTTTTAGTACGTGTTTCTGATTCTAAAATGCCTGAGTAACCTTTGTCTTACATTTTCTATTTTGTATTGTGTTAGAAAAATATGTTTTGTTTTGTGGAATTCAAAAATAACTTTCCAATACAAAATGTTATTGAAATTAATGCATAGGTATTTGTACTTATGCGTATTTATGCAGTGTCGTTAGAAAATTAAAAATGCATTTCTATTGTACTTTACTGCTAATGCCTCTGACTTTTTCGTATACTAATTGGTGGAAAATGTTTTTTTAATTCTTTTGCCTTCTAATGATTTCTTGTTAAATAATTTTTGTTGAATGCTTGACGAATGCCAAATTATACGTATAAAATGGTTGTAGTACAGGTTTTCGTTTTCTAATTTTGTTAGAAGTTTTAAAATTAGCATTGTTATAGCTGGAATTTTTAATTAATAATACAGTAAAAGCAACATAACTTTTGGTGGAGGCGCCAGGTTTTAATTTATTNTTCATAAAAAAAATAAAATTAATAAATAATCCTCAATTTTACGAGAAATACATAACTAGAATACTGGGCCCTACAGGTGGTTCCTTGGGCATGATAAGGCAAACTGCATCTTAGGCCCTCCTCTAATATCACTGTAATGAAATACTTAGTAAAATACAAAATATGAAATATTCAAGTGTATATGCGAACATCAAATATGTACATATTAGGCACTAATTTGAAAAGCTTTCTCGCATTCAGACTCCGGAGCTTTGTCGTTTCAGATTAACTTTTCAAATAGATCCGTTAAAAGCTGGCTCTCTTGTCACTTGTCTGATTATTATTATTGTTTACCCAGCTGGTAAGATATCAATGACATCGTAAAACAGAAACGCAGTCTATTTTAAAAGCGCCGCAAAATTAGACGTTCCATACATGTGGACCCGCGAACCAGTAGCAAGTACTCGCATTGATGTGTATTGTACATTACGACTTTGTATCTGTCTGTCCGTCTGTCTGTGTGTGCGTGCGCGTAAAACCGCATACATTTGCAGCTTGTATGTCAGATTTAAACGCTGGAGCTTTGACCCTAAGTGAGGTCAACCTGATTCCACATAATATTCCTTCAGCCAAATAAAACAAATCAGATCGATTCTTTACGTCAATTTTCTTTAGTGTGTGTATTTATTGTCTTGGATGACACTCCTACGGTATCCGAATAGGAAAATGACCCAATGAAATACGAAGTACCTAACAACGGTTTTATTATTTTTTGCCTTTAAATGCTTCGAATTCCTTCACACTTACTTTTATTTTATCGGTTTCTAAAGTTCATGCAGTAAATTCGAAAATGACAGCAACAATCATAATGTCCTCGTTCGAAAAACCCTAATCCTTTGGCGTTCTGCGCCGTACAAAAAGATAAAGACTGCTGCCATGTCGGGCATCTACTACAATATGTCCATGACTAATAAAGCTACAAAACCAGTGCAAGTTTTGAGAAGTTTAGGTACTAACTCGTCGCCGACAGCGGATGCTGCATGTGAAAGAATGCCATCCGAAGAGAGGACGAAGGACCAACTGACTGCCAGCTTGACGGTAGTGAGTCAGTGAAATGGTATTTGTTTTGTGTCCCCCAAGACGCTCCTCATTAATAAATTCTATCTGATTAGAATCAATACGGATGAAATTATCTATTCGAAATATCTCCAATAAAAGAGGGTTTATATTAATCCCGGAGAGCTTTTGACCATAGCCGCTACCACATGACCTTATTTTGACAATTAAACATGTCCTAAGGCGTAAAACATCCATCCATAGTATTACACAGAAAGTGAATAAAATTTAGTCTGTATTTTTGAATCTAAAATCAAGGATTTTGTTTATAGCAGATTCTCTTTGTTACAGGGCTGTCACAGATCCCAGGGACGGTAGGAGAGTAGCGTTAAAGAAGTTACCAAATGTGTTCCAGTCGCTAGTGTCATCGAAGCGGGTGTTTCGTGAATTGAAAATGCTCTGTTTTTTCAAACACGAAAATGTAAGTTTAAAATTTTAATTTCACTTTATAAGTTAACCAATTATTCAATAATTATTCATGGCCGGAAAGCAGCTAAAGTTTTTCATTTCATGACATCCCATATTGGGATTATCCCAAACCATGATCTTAACGTACGTGATGGTATAGCCCATTATGTCGTCCAGATACTATTTTGTGGGATACCCAGTATATTAACTGCTGTTTCATAATTGTTTTTTAAATTTAGTTTGCCTTCTTGGAATCGTAACTGTATTAAGTATTCCAATAATTGTTAAATAATAACTTTTTGCACAATGAGGAAAAATATGTATAATGTACCCAGAATGTATATATGCTTATATACGTTTATAATTGCATTTTCCTTAAAAAAGATTATTAATCAAAATATCAAGAATTCTCTTTCCGAGAACGCGATAGATCACACCGTATCTGCTCTCGATCACGTCGCAAGCTAGCCTTGTTCTAATGATTTGTGACTGGATGTACATACGTAATCAAAAAGATATTTTTAATGGCACTTATTGGGTACTTTGTATTTGTATGTCCATCGTGTGTCGTTTTAATGACGCGTTATTAACACGAAACGAACAAGAACTGTCGATGACGTTCATTTATTACTGTCATCATTTCACTCTTCTTTAATTGTGTCGATCCGGCATAGTTCTTTGCTCATTAAAACACATATGCAATCGTACTTTATGAATCCAATACAAATTACCAAGAATTTTCAATAACTAGCTTCAAATACCGCTGAAATCTCATTCGATCTTCGACAATTTTCTCAAGAATTTTCTCGGAAATGCACAAGTAAAGCAGTCGGTGATCAGCAGAAGATTTTTCGAATATTTCCCTATTTCAGCGTCACATTGATCTCTTGCAGGTTTTTCAGTTAAATTTTGGGTTAAAGACATCAGAAATATTGCAATAGATTGTTTTATGATTATTTAAAGCGTAACGCATATTTCACGAAATTGAAATTTAAAAGTAGTGAGGAAAAGATAAAAATTAATTAATGGATAGACTATTTTTAATATCAGGTGCGAAACCAGAACCAGAAGGTAAAGGATGATATGCAGTAATAAACAAAACGAAAACAATACATTTTTCACAGAAAATAACTTTCGAAAATTTCCTAGTAATTTTCGATATCTAAATTCTAACCATTCTGTATTATGCTTTTGTGCAATCAGTCTAACATCTTATTGTGAAATACTTAATGCAATATATGAGGATTTGTACGTATTTAGAAATGTTTTTGGGATTTTAGTCACCACTCCCTTATCTCCTTTATCCAAACGTGTACCTTATACGTAACTAAGCTTAATAATTTATGTATACTTTTAGTCGTTTTGAAGATGGGGTGTTTTCCGTCGAGATAAAGTACTGAATTCATTTCTTTTTGTAAAAAAATCTTCTCCTTGCAAATTATTTCGTTAAAAATCTGTTATGCTACCTTGAACAAGAATAATTACCTCAGCGACAATTGACGCAATATTTCAAACTGACAGCACAGCTTTTTTTATTTGCTACACAATTAAGACGTTTATTTAATTCGTGGAAAGCTACACCACTACGTAAATGCATGCATAGATACATGCACGTACTTCGGCTGAAAATCTCAGAAACAAAATGTACAACCCTTTCATGGCAAAATGCATTCACGGTTGACACATAGGGGTAGTATAGAGAATAAATAAAGACAACTTCAGACAGAATAGTATAATGGTAGCATACCATAAGGCTCCTGACAAGAAAAACGTGGAATATCCTAAGAAATTATATAATTTAGAATATATGGACGATTTCAAAGTCATATGTATAACTAATTGGTTTCTAAGCAGTTTCCAATGGGTTAAAAAAAAGTTGAATAATTTAAAGCTCGGTATAAGTTGCTGTAATCACAGTGGCATAGTCAACTGGTAATTCTTTGGACTGATCCTTTTCTTTTTGTGTTTTCAGTGTTTTATTGATATGATATTTTATATTTATTTGAATGTTCCAGATACGGTTGTGCTAGAAAAACACGTAATCTTTCGGATTTCCATGCCTTTATTTATTACAGAGTTGTAACGTTTCAACTTTGTAACAAGTAACTGATGGAAGTCCTAAAGTCTAAGTGTATTTCTATGATAGGCTACAATTCTCTGATTGATTGTGAATTTTAAACTGTTCTTCGGTCCAATTGGAACTGATGACGACGAGAGATATAACACGGTCGAAACGTTATAACTCTATAATAAATAACAGCATGGAAGTCTGAAAATCTGCCTGTATTTCTAACACAACCGCGTCTGCAATTTTCAAACAAATTGGATTAAAAGAATAGAATCAAAGTTTACCAATTGACACCACATTACTTTCTGAATAGATGACCATGGTGGTGGTTACAGCAACTTTAAAACGTTGGTCTTCCATTGTTTACATTCAATTAATTATTATCAAAAAGAGTATTGTTTTTCGATCGATTTGGTTTCAGTTATGGAACATATATGACTAAATCCCTAAGTAATTAATCGTTAGTGTAATATTCAAAATTGAAATTAAAGGAAATTTTTTACCAGGTAATTTACTCTTTTTGTAAACTTAAGGAATTTGCGCTACCGTGTGTTGCTTTTCCTGAGTTTTTTTTTTTTTAATTTACTTTACGTTGCTTATTTCGGTTCATCGTCAGTTCAACTTGTATTGATTAGAAGGAAATAAGTTCGTCTCTCTACAGGATCCGTTAGAGCGTGCAGTCCGCAGATTTACCTGACTGACTGTCTGAATGCTTAATTTAATTAAGACACATCCAGACCAAATTTTAATTGGCAGCTTTACGTAACACCGGCTTGTCTTTTTCAGGTTCTGTCAGCCTTGGATATTCTTCAACCTCCGCACATAGATTTTTTTCAAGAAATGTATCCTTTTGCGTACAATGCAATGATCACGTACTCGATACGAGTTACGAAATCGGTAACGATGCTCTTAATCTACTTACTAAGGTAGGAAATCTTTATCTCTCTTTTTCCTTCTATTCATGTTTGCTGGAAAAAACTTCGATCATTCCTTCACTAATTAATTAATTAGTTAATATTGCGTATAACTTTTGTGGGGTTGCCTAAATGTCAAGGGTCAATAATTAGAAGACGAATCCTCTCATCGGTAAAGTTTTACTCATATCTTATTACTAATAATATCTCCGTTTAGTCATTGATGTAGGTATTAAATATAAATGAACGATCCACAAATATGTAAATATAAATATATAAATTTAATGCAAATTTTACCGTATTCGGTGTTCTCACGGTAGCTTGCTTCTTGTCATTAACTCCGAAGTTGTCTATAGCAATAATATTGATGATCATAAAAACCTCTACATACCTTGTTTAAATTGTCTATCTGTCTGTACGTCTGTCTGCAGATTATAATTACTAGCTATCTATACAAGAACGTCTACAGTTTAAAATACTTATTAAGTATTAGGTAGTAGTGTATATCGTATAGGAGATTAAAATACTTCCGGGTGTAAAATTCTTGAAAAAGAGTATTTAAAAGGGTAATAAAGGTCGGTTCACGCTACTCCGTTTCGGGTCCGAGCCGTGTTTTGAACAAGGTACGGACACAAGTGTACAAGCCTTTCATTNTTTTGAATTTGAGAATAATTAATAGATCTAAATAAAAAGCGTAAGCTCATAATAATTGTACAATATCAGCAGTCGGTATTTTAAGCACAGCTTTTAATTCTGTGGGAAGATAATTCCGTTGTAATTACTTACATACGGGAATAAGCAGCATTATTTGCCTTGCCTAATTTCAGGAAAATACATGTATTGTTATGTCGACCTATAATTTGATATAAATGGTACATTTACCATGAGTCCTTCATGTAGATTAGCTGCAATATATTATTTGATTTTGCTAGCGCCAAAGCTTATTTTGTAAAATATCAAAATGTGAGATTGAATAAAAGTATAAATCGGATGGAATGTCCGGAATTTGGACCACCATGTAATTGTTTCGGGAAACTGTGACCGAAAATGACATCAATACGTATTGGGCCGGGTGTTTGGCTTAAAAATTAGCACCTGTGAGTCCGTAATACTATACATACAAACGTATAACGTAACACACAAGGGGCATTCTGTAGCACCGGTAAATGCAGTGCGTTTATTATTAATATTTGCTCTGAACAAATCGTGCAGAAAATTGATCAGCGAAGGTAATCTGTACATCCTGATAAAAAAGATTGAACCGTGGTGGTTCATTGAATTTTATGCGATCAGTAGAGTGTATAAAATGCCTTACAGGATGCTGGTAGCTGGATTTTAATTCATCATCTTCGTAAGATCTTTAGCCTAAAGGACACGTACCTTTTTATCTTGAATCAGTCTTTGCATTTCTTAAAACTTACATCATTAACTGTTACCTTTTTTAGTACGTGTTTCTGATTCTAAAATGCCTGAGTAACCTTTGTCTTACATTTTCTATTTTGTATTGTGTTAGAAAAATATGTTTTGTTTTGTGGAATTCAAAAATAACTTTCCAATACAAAATGTTATTGAAATTAATGCATAGGTATTTGTACTTATGCGTATTTATGCAGTGTCGTTAGAAAATTAAAAATGCATTTCTATTGTACTTTACTGCTAATGCCTCTGACTTTTTCGTATACTAATTGGTGGAAAATGTTTTTTTAATTCTTTTGCCTTCTAATGATTTCTTGTTAAATAATTTTTGTTGAATGCTTGACGAATGCCAAATTATACGTATAAAATGGTTGTAGTACAGGTTTTCGTTTTCTAATTTTGTTAGAAGTTTTAAAATTAGCATTGTTATAGCTGGAATTTTTAATTAATAATACAGTAAAAGCAACATAACTTTTGGTGGAGGCGCCAGGTTTTAATTTATTTACATGAACGTTTCGTTGGTATTTATTAGAAGTATCAGCATTATGTATCGCTTATTTTCCCTTTGTACCACCTTATTAGATTCACCTCTGATTGAGTCCTTATTCATAAAAAAAATAAAATTAATAAATAATCCTCAATTTTACGAGAAATACATAACTAGAATACTGGGCCCTACAGGTGGTTCCTTGGGCATGATAAGGCAAACTGCATCTTAGGCCCTCCTCTAATATCACTGTAATGAAATACTTAGTAAAATACAAAATATGAAATATTCAAGTGTATATGCGAACATCAAATATGTACATATTAGGCACTAATTTGAAAAGCTTTCTCGCATTCAGACTCCGGAGCTTTGTCGTTTCAGATTAACTTTTCAAATAGATCCGTTAAAAGCTGGCTCTCTTGTCACTTGTCTGATTATTATTATTGTTTACCCAGCTGGTAAGATATCAATGACATCGTAAAACAGAAACGCAGTCTATTTTAAAAGCGCCGCAAAATTAGACGTTCCATACATGTGGACCCGCGAACCAGTAGCAAGTACTCGCATTGATGTGTATTGTACATTACGACTTTGTATCTGTCTGTCCGTCTGTCTGTGTGTGCGTGCGCGTAAAACCGCATACATTTGCAGCTTGTATGTCAGATTTAAACGCTGGAGCTTTGACCCTAAGTGAGGTCAACCTGATTCCACATAATATTCCTTCAGCCAAATAAAACAAATCAGATCGATTCTTTACGTCAATTTTCTTTAGTGTGTGTATTTATTGTCTTGGATGACACTCCTACGGTATCCGAATAGGAAAATGACCCAATGAAATACGAAGTACCTAACAACGGTTTTATTATTTTTTGCCTTTAAATGCTTCGAATTCCTTCACACTTACTTTTATTTTATCGGTTTCTAAAGTTCATGCAGTAAATTCGAAAATGACAGCAACAATCATAATGTCCTCGTTCGAAAAACCCTAATCCTTTGGCGTTCTGCGCCGTACAAAAAGATAAAGACTGCTGCCATGTCGGGCATCTACTACAATATGTCCATGACTAATAAAGCTACAAAACCAGTGCAAGTTTTGAGAAGTTTAGGTACTAACTCGTCGCCGACAGCGGATGCTGCATGTGAAAGAATGCCATCCGAAGAGAGGACGAAGGACCAACTGACTGCCAGCTTGACGGTAGTGAGTCAGTGAAATGGTATTTGTTTTGTGTCCCCCAAGACGCTCCTCATTAATAAATTCTATCTGATTAGAATCAATACGGATGAAATTATCTATTCGAAATATCTCCAATAAAAGAGGGTTTATATTAATCCCGGAGAGCTTTTGACCATAGCCGCTACCACATGACCTTATTTTGACAATTAAACATGTCCTAAGGCGTAAAACATCCATCCATAGTATTACACAGAAAGTGAATAAAATTTAGTCTGTATTTTTGAATCTAAAATCAAGGATTTTGTTTATAGCAGATTCTCTTTGTTACAGGGCTGTCACAGATCCCAGGGACGGTAGGAGAGTAGCGTTAAAGAAGTTACCAAATGTGTTCCAGTCGCTAGTGTCATCGAAGCGGGTGTTTCGTGAATTGAAAATGCTCTGTTTTTTCAAACACGAAAATGTAAGTTTGAAATTTTAATTTCACTTTATAAGTTAACCAATTATTCAATAATTATTCATGGCCGGAAAGCAGCGAAAGTTTTTCATTTCATGACATCCCATATTGGGATTATCCCAAACCATGATCTTAACGTACGTGATGGTATAGCCCATTATGTCGTCCAGATACTATTTTGTGGGACACCCTGTGTATAAACTGCTGTTTCATAATTGTTTTTTAAATTTAGTTTGCCTTCTTGGAATCGTAACTGTATTAAGTATTCCAATAATTGTTAAATAATAACTTTTTGCACAATGAGGAAAAATATGTATAATGTACCCAGAATGTATATATGCTTATATACGTTTATAATTGCATTTTCCTTAAAAAAGATTATTAATCAAAATATCAAGAATTCTCTTTCCGAGAACGCGATAGATCACACCGTATCTGCTCTCGATCACGTCGCAAGCTAGCCTTGTTCTAATGATTTGTGACTGGATGTACATACGTAATCAAAAAGATATTTTTAATGGCACTTATTGGGTACTTTGTATTTGTATGTCCATCGTGTGTCGTTTTAATGACGCGTTATTAACACGAAACGAACAAGAACTGTCGATGACGTTCATTTATTACTGTCATCATTTCACTCTTCTTTAATTGTGTCGATCCGGCATAGTTCTTTGCTCATTAAAACACATATGCAATCGTACTTTATGAATCCAATACAAATTACCAAGAATTTTCAATAACTAGCTTCAAATACCGCTGAAATCTCATTCGATCTTCGACAATTTTCTCAAGAATTTTCTCGGAAATGCACAAGTAAAGCAGTCGGTGATCAGCAGAAGATTTTTCGAATATTTCCCTATTTCAGCGTCACATTGATCTCTTGCAGGTTTTTCAGTTAAATTTTGGGTTAAAGACATCAGAAATATTGCAATAGATTGTTTTATGATTATTTAAAGCGTAACGCATATTTCACGAAATTGAAATTTAAAAGTAGTGAGGAAAAGATAAAAATTAATTAATGGATAGACTATTTTTAATATCAGGTGCGAAACCAGAACCAGAAGGTAAAGGATGATATGCAGTAATAAACAAAACGAAAACAATACATTTTTCACAGAAAATAACTTTCGAAAATTTCCTAGTAATTTTCGATATCTAAATTCTAACCATTCTGTATTATGCTTTTGTGCAATCAGTCTAACATCTTATTGTGAAATACTTAATGCAATATATGAGGATTTGTACGTATTTAGAAATGTTTTTGGGATTTTAGTCACCACTCCCTTATCTCCTTTATCCAAACGTGTACCTTATACGTAACTAAGCTTAATAATTTATGTATACTTTTAGTCGTTTTGAAGATGGGGTGTTTTCCGTCGAGATAAAGTACTGAATTCATTTCTTTTTGTAAAAAAATCTTCTCCTTGCAAATTATTTCGTTAAAAATCTGTTATGCTACCTTGAACAAGAATAATTACCTCAGCGACAATTGACGCAATATTTCAAACTGACAGCACAGCTTTTTTTATTTGCTACACAATTAAGACGTTTATTTAATTCGTGGAAAGCTACACCACTACGTAAATGCATGCATAGATACATGCACGTACTTCGGCTGAAAATCTCAGAAACAAAATGTACAACCCTTTCATGGCAAAATGCATTCACGGTTGACACATAGGGGTAGTATAGAGAATAAATAAAGACAACTTCAGACAGAATAGTATAATGGTAGCATACCATAAGGCTCCTGACAAGAAAAACGTGGAATATCCTAAGAAATTATATAATTTAGAATATATGGACGATTTCAAAGTCATATGTATAACTAATTGGTTTCTAAGCAGTTTCCAATGGGTTAAAAAAAAGTTGAATAATTTAAAGCTCGGTATAAGTTGCTGTAATCACAGTGGCATAGTCAACTGGTAATTCTTTGGACTGATCCTTTTCTTTTTGTGTTTTCAGTGTTTTATTGATATGATATTTTATATTTATTTGAATGTTCCAGATACGGTTGTGCTAGAAAAACACGTAATCTTTCGGATTTCCATGCCTTTATTTATTACAGAGTTGTAACGTTTCAACTTTGTAACAAGTAACTGATGGAAGTCCTAAAGTCTAAGTGTATTTCTATGATAGGCTACAATTCTCTGATTGATTGTGAATTTTAAACTGTTCTTCGGTCCAATTGGAACTGATGACGACGAGAGATATAACACGGTCGAAACGTTATAACTCTATAATAAATAACAGCATGGAAGTCTGAAAATCTGCCTGTATTTCTAACACAACCGCGTCTGCAATTTTCAAACAAATTGGATTAAAAGAATAGAATCAAAGTTTACCAATTGACACCACATTACTTTCTGAATAGATGACCATGGTGGTGGTTACAGCAACTTTAAAACGTTGGTCTTCCATTGTTTACATTCAATTAATTATTATCAAAAAGAGTATTGTTTTTCGATCGATTTGGTTTCAGTTATGGAACATATATGACTAAATCCCTAAGTAATTAATCGTTAGTGTAATATTCAAAATTGAAATTAAAGGAAATTTTTTACCAGGTAATTTACTCTTTTTGTAAACTTAAGGAATTTGCGCTACCGTGTGTTGCTTTTCCTGAGTTTTTTTTTTTTAATTTACTTTACGTTGCTTATTTCGGTTCATCGTCAGTTCAACTTGTATTGATTAGAAGGAAATAAGTTCGTCTCTCTACAGGATCCGTTAGAGCGTGCAGTCCGCAGATTTACCTGACTGACTGTCTGAATGCTTAATTTAATTAAGACACATCCAGACCAAATTTTAATTGGCAGCTTTACGTAACACCGGCTTGTCTTTTTCAGGTTCTGTCAGCCTTGGATATTCTTCAACCTCCGCACATAGATTTTTTTCAAGAAATGTATCCTTTTGCGTACAATGCAATGATCACGTACTCGATACGAGTTACGAAATCGGTAACGATGCTCTTAATCTACTTACTAAGGTAGGAAATCTTTATCTCTCTTTTTCCTTCTATTCATGTTTGCTGGAAAAAACTTCGATCATTCCTTCACTAATTAATTAATTAGTTAATATTGCGTATAACTTTTGTGGGGTTGCCTAAATGTCAAGGGTCAATAATTAGAAGACGAATCCTCTCATCGGTAAAGTTTTACTCATATCTTATTACTAATAATATCTCCGTTTAGTCATTGATGTAGGTATTAAATATAAATGAACGATCCACAAATATGTAAATATAAATATATAAATTTA